TCATAACATCGCTAATCATATGAAATGCTTAAAATAACTATTGACTGGTGGTCCCTGAAATCGAGTCTATATGTCAATCAGGCTATTAATTATCTATACCGGTACTCTCTAATTTCAGAGCTGTAACAATCCTTGACATTACATTTGCCCTTTTACTGTCAATTTGATGGACATCCATTTTGAATTAATGAGTGTTACCAACCAGTTAACATCTATGATGTACATGTATATACACCCAATACAAGTACTGTTTTTATAATTACATTCTGAAAACATTTCACCTTCCTTTCCTTATATTCACAGTATCCGAATTTGCAAGCATTACATATTATTTGCATTGTCAAGATGGAAGTTTATTGCATTAAACAGGAGCAGTGCATTGTAATAATACTAAATTCCATTGATGGTTCCCATCAGGAGCTATTCAACTTCAGTCCAGATGTGACCTGTTAAATCCGTTTAAAAAAACACAACATAATTCCGTAACTAATGAATTCATCATTAAATGAACATCACATTAAATTATTTATTAAATCAATTCAATTCATGACCATCTATCAATTTTGTAACATGATAATGTCTATTTGGTAGGAACAGAAAAGTTTACAATTGATGCTCTACAAATCATGGACTATTCAAAGCGAGATTGATCTTTCTGATTGTCATATATCAAGACTTGTATCCTTTTTGCAACATTTCTTGATGATCTTAATACATACTTGCATCTATTTCATATTCTTCTTTTAAACCCCTCACCTCCTTCAGTCGTCTTTCCCTCCTGCTCTCATTTTCTCATCCTTAACCCTTCCCTCCTCTTTCCTCACCTCACTCCTTCTCTTCTCTTTTCCTCCTTCTCTCCCTCCCTCCATCCATCCTTTCTCTTTCCCTCCTCTTTCCTCACCTCATTCCTCTTTCCCTCCCCCTTCCTTCCATTCTCCCCCTCCATCCTTCCTCCTTCCTTTCATTATCTTTCCCTCCCTCCCTCCCTCCTCCTTCCCCCTCTTTCCTTCAATCCCCCTCCACCTCCGCATCCATCCTTCCCTCCTTGACTCTCCTTACCTTGCTCAAACCACCCAAATGACTAAGGATATTATAAAGCCTATCTTCCAGCCTAAATTGATTGGCCTTCTCTATCTGCTTGATTAGAGCAGGAGATACTGGGGCAGGAGCAGGTGCTTCAATCAGAACAATATACCTGTACAAGACCTACTAATAGTCCATTTAGACTAGGGGTAATTTATACAAAACTTGTATTAAACAAAAAAAGTTGTACAGAGAATCTTAATTTAGCAGACGACGGGCACTTTTGATAAATGATCTTGCGTGAAGAAGCTAATTATGAAGAGGTCAATTGACACGATACTATAGATGACGATAGCTGGCCAATAATAGAGTTTGGAAGCAGAGACACACAAAATGTCAGAGACAAAGTAGTCCCTCGACACAATATTTGGTAGATGCCTTAACTCACTCCTTGGAGGAATGGCATTGGAACTGGCCAAACCAGATTCAAAATCAGCTCAGTGCGCTTGTGTCAGAGATAAATCATAAATCCATATCAGTACTAGCTCCTAAGATCACTTTCAATTTAATATAGCTCCACTTTTGCTATGTTTAATACTAGTTAATGTTCTTATGAAAGGAAAATAACACATAAAACAAAAAACAAGCAAACAAATAAACAAGTTTCCTTCAAATGAGGACATTTATCTCTACCTATATTGAAACGTGAGATATATTGGAATATGCTTTTTTAAGCCTAGACTCAATGGAAGGGTCTTTATGGTACTAATTCAGCTTACCAAATCCTTGGTCCAAGGAAAACTATAAAGACCTCAGACTAACTTCCTTTATGAAAAATGATTTTGAACAAAAACTTGAGCCCAACATTGAGCAGAATACAGATTACATTGTCCTTCAAAATACTCGTTATCAAATCAAAACAAAGCCATGAAAATCACCTCTTGAGAAACAAAATATCTCCAAGTTAGCACTAGATCTTCATAAAGTTCCACACAATTCGTTTTTTTAAAACCCAGTTAATTTCACCAGCAAAAGAAAGAAAGAATTGTGAACAATTCATTATTGAGATTTGCTAAAATAAAGTTAGTATTAGTGTTACAGTGCTGTGTGTACACAATCAAAATTAAATATTGTGAAACAGTTATCATATGTTGTTAATTTGTGCATTGCAGATAATACATATGGAGTGAGTGTTAGTATGGGGGGAAAAAGGGGGAAAAAAGGATGCACACTGCTAAAATATAAGGTGCTGTTAAAGAAAAAAATAGATTGTTTTTAAGGAAGAGAAACAATACATGCTGAAAGTCAAAGATTATTGTGACATTTACTCACTTGAGAAAAAAAGGAGAGAGGAATATTAGAAAATGTCAGATTTTGTAGGATAAATATTTGATACAAATTCATTGATTGAAGATATCCTAATTCTATCATTTCTCCCAAGGGAAATCTTATTACTGAAGACAACAATATAAAGAAAGAAATGCAGATATTTTTGTAATCATTGATATTAAGATAATAGTAATAAAACAAACAGATTTCTGATATAAAATTGATTTAAAGAGTGTAGTAAACTATAAATGGAATGATTGTGCTTTTGCTTTTGTTTAAAGCTGAAAAGATGATTAATTTGAGAAAGTATATAGAAAAGGGGAGAGTCTTGAGATGACTGTTAAAAAAGCTGCATTTAAGATTTAAAAGGTAGAAATAGGGAAAGTTTTGAAACGACTGTGTTAATATAAAAAGATGACTTGAAGAGAAAAAAATGGAAATTAGGATAGTTTTCAGATGATTGTATTATAAAAGCTGATAAAAAATTTGAGAGATTTTTAGTTCGAAAAATATGGTCCTTTGTACCTCACGCTTGCCGTTTTCAATAAATTGTCTTGCTGATGTGTAGAATTCCCCTATCAAATCGTTTGCACTACCCTCATCATGGTCGAAACACATGACCTGTTTGATAAGAGAGAGAGAAAAATCAATGGCGCAAAACAACAAACAACTAAAAGAAACAATAACAACAACATCCAATGCATGGCAACAAGGTGTTAGTCCATCATGTTGAGACTCATGTTGTAGTGTAAGGGGAAAGGGGGAAGGGGTCATAGGTCATCTGTCAGAGTTTGTACTTCAAAATAAAATGGAATAAGTTCATATCTACTAAAGATTATTCCATTGTTGAAGTAAAAAAGAAATATATTCAAATAGAGAAAGAATAGTGGTGATTTTACAAGTATTATTTTGTTTATCCTATTTGCATTTAAAGGTAAAGACCAGTTATGGTCATGCGATTGCATTGTGAAAGAAACGTTGTGGGATCGATCAGAAAAGGTTGATCATCTAGGATCAAGCATCTGCAAGGTTCTGGATTCATCAAAATGATAAGAAATTTGGCCCTTTCTTTGTAAAGTTACAAGCACTATACACAGAAAGATGTATATGGGACTACCCTATATCTCTCACAGACCATGAGAGAAACAAATTTACCAAATATATGAATTAGTAGGTGGTTTCCCGGCATTTTTTTTATCATCATGTATTAGTTAAAACATATTCTTTCACATGATTGGTAATGAGAGCTTCCATTTCATTTTTTGAAATTGGGGCGTTTCCAATACTGGTCTTTACCTTTAAGTTAAGACAAAACAAAACTAAATTTCACAATATTTTTATATTCTTTTGTGAAAAGTCAGTGCCCCAAAATTTTTTCAAGCTCTGAAAAGAGCAATACACATAGCAGGTGCATTTTTAAATTTGCTCTATATTTTGCTATAAATTTTAATGAAAATGAAAAACAATAGTCAAAAATAGAATATCCATACTTCATAAAGCTCCTTTTAGATCTTACTGAACAGCTGCAAAGGTTAGTTACATGTATTACACTGCGCTGGTGACAAAATACACTCAGAAAAGAGAGGGGACACTATTTATAATTAAGATTTTCAAATAAACTTATCAATCAAATATCAAAATAAGCATTGATGATATGCAATTGGAATCATACCATTAATGCATGAGAGAGCATAGCAATTTAACAATAAATGAGTCTCTGACAAAAAAAATAGTAAAAATGGAGCATCTGGCCCTTAAATGTTGATAACCATTTCTAGCTTGTAGAGTCAAATTAAAACAATGAAGAAAAAACATGAGAAACACAAAAGGAGAGGCGTCTTGACTGTGCTTGTCAAAACCATGTGAGACTACAGTTCACATTTAGACCTCAATCCTCATTGTTTCTCATTTCTTGTTTTAATTGCTAACAACAATAAATGACGTATACACATGTTCATTAACATTTGAGTGCCTACTTGTTCTTTTTTGGCAATTGTTTTAATCAGACCAACGGTTAAATGAATGTGTCTTTCCAGGCATGAAATATCAAAACTTGATCTTTATCAATGTTGGTAGAGTTTCAATTTTCCTATAACTTAATATACAATTTAGTACATTTTAGTAATGGTTTATGTGAAAATTTGGTAATACAAAGAATGTCCACTTTCTCTCATTGCTGAGTGTATATTGAAATAGGTTAGTAGCATAATACTGTGAAATATTCAATATACAAAATACACAAGTATTCACTAGCAATACTGTTATGTAAGATTTGAAGGAGCTACAAAGTGGATATATATCAATCAGAAACCTGTTATTTCATTAAAAAAAAATAATTATCTTTTTTTTTTTTACAAACTCTGACATGACGACTTCAAAATGATTGAAAAATTGAAGGGGGTGGGGTGAAGTGTTGAAATGCCACTCTGGTGATGGGGGTGGGGTGGGGGTGATGGTGAAGGGGGGAGGGGGGGAAGGGTGTGAGTGTTAGTGTGTGAATGCGGCACTGCTATGAAGGAAGAAAAAAAATCAATCAATCAAACACGAATATATATAAATCAATATCTAAATCAAATCAAATCAACTCAGATGGGCATGCCACAGCACACCGACCGATTGACCATTCCGAACAACCTGCGTTGGACTACCTCTTTCTTGTTTGTGTGCACCATCTCCCGTACCGTGGTCGCACACGAGCCAATCATGTCGTGCCGCCCGTCAAAGTCGTAATCGTAGCAAGCTATCTGTGAACGGGGGTGGGGTCATGGTTAGCAAGATATCTGTCTGGCTTGGGATGGTTCAAAGTTATATTACACTTGCCTTTGTGATTCCTAATCCTTTATTAAAATCCAAGAACCATTAACCTATGAATTTCGCTAGCAGGTACTATATAATTTCATATGGAAATTGTTCTTTATCTCAGAGCAACTTTAAATTCATTAGGTCCCACCCCCTCCCCCCCCCCAAAAAAAAAGGACAACAAAAAGAGATGCAGTTGATTATCTTGAGTAGTATATTATGATTTCCTTGGTAAATCTTTTCCATGATTGATTTCAAATAAAATGGCAGGATAAATATCAGAATTAGTTCATTGTCAAAGATAAGAGCAAAAGTAAGTGAAAGATTTCATTTTGTTTCATGAATTCAATTAATATGCAATGTGATAAAACACCCAAAAAATTAAAAGGTTTAAGTTTTAAACCTCTGAACTAATCAAATAAAAAACCAATCATAGTCTGAAAAATAGAACATAAACAAATAACATTGTCATAGAGAAATTAATATAAAAGAATGATTAATGACTTTTTCTTCTTTTTTAGTATACTTACCTGAAACTTCGATGATACTGTGGAGAGAAAGATTGTTATCAGACATGGTGAGATAATGAAAATGATTTTCCTCCAGTCTATAACCAGTTTTTTAATTTCATTAATTCTATCTGTTGTCTTTAAAACCCCTGTGAGCTACATTGAAATTGGCAAGGTGCAGAACATTGGAAGGCCATATTTCAAATTCCTCATTTCAAAAGCTACAGAGAAACATGCATGGCATGCAAAAAAGGGGACAATCTATGTCCTTATCTTCAACATTATACATGGCAATATTTGTGATGCCATAAAACTATTTTGTCTTCATTCAGGACTATATTTGGGGATGTATTCATCATGAAATGGACACTTATAATATCATATTTCTTAAACCAGGCTTTCCTACATGAATCATTTCATTCACCTTCATGGCCAACGTTATAAGAAGAGATATTTTGCGAAATAAATGGACAATATAATTTCAAAACATTAATGTTTTTTTTCTTCAAACCAGTCTCTATTTTGAAATCATTTCATTCAGCTTCTTAGTCACATTTCCTACAAAGATGCAGATGATTTTTTAATCAGGAATACTAATCTTCGGCACAGATACTCAATACCTGATTATGAAACTGAGCCTCCTCCCTTACCCACGGTAGTAATTTGCCGCCCACTACAGCATAATTCATCATCCCTAATAAACAATCCCATGTTTTAATGACCAAATGCGGTATTCAGAAGAACTAGAGAAAGGAAAGAGGAGGCAGAACAAATCTTTTTTTATAAACCCTCTCCTCCTGCCATCCAAGTCCAAGCCAACCGTTTTCAGGCACATTGCCGCTCTGGTAATATTACAGCTGCGCTTTATGGGAGAACGTCACACAATTTGACAGCCCCCCCCCCCCCCCCCCCCCCCCGCCATTCTGGTCGCAATAACCCAAGGTGTTCGATGACGTCAATGTAATACTCGTAGACCCTGGGAGTTTGAGTCCAAACCGATGTGTGCGTATGTGTGTGTGTGTGTGAATCAAATGAAGAAGAAAGCAGCACAGAAGGAGAAAAGACGGAGAGAGAGATGGAGAGAGAGTGGGAAAAGATTTTCTTGCGCTTCATTTAACTTCATAATTTGCGACAAATCCCATGAGGGGATTGGGATGCTTCTTTTCCCTTTTTTTCCCTTGGCTGGACTCTCTGCTCTCTTCCACTTATTATCATCTTGGTTGGCTGGCTGATGATATGTCCTGGCCAGCCACTGTTTTTATGCTTGGTCTCTCTCGATCGTACGCCAAGCACAGCTAACAGGGTTCGGATATTGGACAGAGCCTGCTCAAGATGAGTTTGGGAGCGATCATGTCTCATTGTGTCATCTGCCTCTCTACTCCGCAGATGAGGCCAGTTTTGCTTTTTATGCCACTGAGATTTAAAGGGAGGGGTGGCTTTTCTCCAGGGAAACTCAGTAAATTCTCATGAGCATTCAATTCTGCAATCAGCCAACACTAATATAACAAAATTGAATAAATAATGAATTAACCACCCCGATCTATCAATCGCATTAAGACTCATATTTTTTGAATGACAACAACAAAAGCACAAATCAGGGATAAAAAACATAATAATGAATAAATGGTGCGGAAATAAAATGCAATGTAATAAAATCTCCCATAATATAAACAAATTATATCATCACTCCAAATAAAAAGAATTAGACATTGTAAAAAAAAAGTTTGATAAGAAACATCACACGCATCATTTAAATCTTGAAATCTGTAAATCTGTTGGATTACCTTAATCTTCTTGTCATAATCCCCATTACAGAGCTTCTTGAGATCTATTTTGAAAGGCTTCCATGTAGGCTTTAATGTGTTCTTGATAACCTGCAAAGCGAAAACAGATCATGCACACTATTCAAAACAAAGTTCTCAACAAATTTCGATCCAGTCTGTCTTCTTTTGTCGATGACTCTTCAATCTAATTCAGAATCTTTCACCTGGCAACTTCAATCAAATGTTAAATTTTATATAGGGGAACATATAATCTTCAAGCTAAGCTTTTTAATAGGTTCCTCACATTTCACCCTGTCTAACCTTACACGCAAAACAATTCATTTCAACATCTTTACAAAGCCTTGATTATATAATTGACATACTTTGAGTATATTTCATATCATGTTATAATTTTGTCATTAATGTGAATTCTGTTTTGTGAAATGTAAAAGAAATAAAAACTTGAACTTGAAACTGAAGGTATTCTGTAAAAACTTGCTCATAATAACATCAACAGTTTTATGAATATCTGCGCATTTTAGCAATATCTAATTCAAGACATTGATTGACAAAATAAAATAAAAAATTTCTAGAAAGCTGGATAAAATGTCATCTTTTTGCTTTATTAGCTGAAAAGCATTCATTGATTTGAATGCATTATGACATAATCAAAAACAAAACAAATACATATATACATATATACATCGCTGCATTCCCTATTTTTCCCTATATTTTTGTAGTCTCTGAAGACACCAGATTGGATGCTAGCTGCACCTACCCGCTGGGATGACTTAGGCTCCCTTTAGCCGCTAACACCATGCCCCAAGATGCACTTCCAGGCACCTCAAATACTTTGCAAACACTGCAAGTATTGACTTACGCTCAAACACACTTGCTCTTTCTCCCCCTGAATCTTAAACTAGGTCAAGAGGTATCGTCCTCAGTCAGGTTGCATATAATCTGAACACATTTCTCTTTGGCGAGCTAGCTCCCTGACAAACAAGATCATCTGCATTAATCCCCTTTCCCTGAAATTTTATTTCTAATGCCCAGACTGGTGAATCGTGGGGGATGGATTTAGTTGGAAAAGAAGAAAGCAAAAGTAAGGGAGACGATTGCTGAGAAGAATGGAGAATTAATGGGGATTTGTTAACCTCTCTTCCTTTATCCTAACTTTCATACTAATAGGTACAGAAATGGAGAGATGGAGAAAACAAGGGGTATTGATAGAGAGAGAGAGAGAGAGAGAGAAATAGACAGACATAGACAGGGAGACAGAGAGAGGAAGAGAGAAAGAGAGGGAAAGAGGTAAATATATTACAGAGAAATTAGCATTGTCGATAAAGAGAGAAAGACAGAGACAGACAGACAGAGACAGAGACAGAAACAGAGACAGAGAGGGAGAGGGATACAGACAGAGACAGAGAGATAAGGAGAGATAGAGAGAGATGAGGCACAACTTAAAGAGAAACAGATTAATCAGATGAAGAAAACAAATAAAGTTCACTTGAAGATATACCCCAAGCTATTCTGTCAGACTGACATACCATAATTACGTTGTATTAACCGCACTTCTTTGCCGCCGAAAAAATTCTAAGTCGGGGGTGTGTCTTATACACAGGTACAAAAAGATAACAAAAAAATAATAATTAAAGTTTCAATTTATGCCCCTTCACCTGGCGCTATGCCTGGCAATATCTCCCAGCTAAGTAATCGGTGTGTTGACTCACCACTCGGAAACTAGAACAACACTCAAATTTGTCTGTCATCTTGGTTTGAAAGTAATCTTTCTGATAGATCTCAATATGTAGTTTATAATAATAATTCCTCCAATTCCTCAACTTTTCTATTACACACTGCGTACCACAAGATTCTATCCTAGGTCCTCTACTATTTTTTAATTTACATTAATGATCTTACACATTCAACTGCACCTCGCAGTTAGATGAAAGGCCTTCCCGCGTGGGTTTTTTAACATGGACCTGGCTTGCTGCCAACAGAGTCGGCAACAAAAAAATGTAAAATTAAAACTTTTTTAAGAGGGGTGCGGTTAATACACGAGGGCGGTTTATACAACGTTAATTAGGGTACTGAGTAAGTACAATGAATGAAGCTAACTCACCTCTGTAACATGGACTTTATGCCATTCATCTGGATTGTGGCCAGCCTTATAGAATTCCAAGAATGGATCTGACTTCCCCATCACATCCTGTAATAAAAGAACATTAAGGAATTCATGAAATATGTAAATAAAAAAAGAGAACATATCTATAAGGGATTTCAGGATGCAGTGATTGACAGAGAAGTCTGAATATAAGATATTTGACTGTTTTTTGATGTCCTTCGTTGTCCCATCAGTCAATCGTAATAAGAAAAAGTATGTTCTAAAATGAACAGCTTTTCCACAAAAACGACCTAAAGAGTACTTACAAAATGCACTATTCTGGAGAATTACCACTCTTCAAATAATATAATTTCTACCGTATGCATAACAGTGTTCTATAATGAACATGAGGTTTTTGGCATTGCCATTATCAATTAATTACATTTCAGCAATGTTTATCAAAGTGAGAGAGAGATAGAGAGAGAAAGAGAGTGAGAGATAGATAAAGAAAGAGAGAAAGAGAGTGATTTATATACATATATATATATATATATATATATATATATATATATAGAGAGAGAGAGAGAGAGAGAGAGAGAGAGAGAGAGGGAGGGAGGGAGAGAGAGAGAGAGAGAGAGAGAGAGAGAGAGGGAGAGAGAGGGGGGGGGGGGGGAATAAAGACAAGAGTGGCAGGGATGAAAATAGGCAGAGCGTGAAAGAGTAAAAACAAAGACAAAATGATGAAAAATAAAGGGAGGGAAAGCATCCACATAAGACCCAGACAAGTGATTGAAATTCTCTCAGACTCTCTACGTTGTATTGATAACACATCCATGTTTATTTTTAGATACTCTACGAGAATGGGGCTCAGGTGGATGGACCCGCTAGAATTCTACCAAGCGAGGGAAGCAAACATGGAAAAACGATGAAGAGGGGGGAAATGACAGTTCGTCGACAACCCAGAGAAATTAGGAAGGGTTAGAGCTCCACGACCCTTGCCGTCCTGCCGCCATCATTCAGTTTACGGGGGAGTCTAGAGAGAGAAAAAAGGGCCAGGAAGGAAGATAATCAAAGACAGCCCGAACGAGCCCTGGAATGCGGGGTATGGAATCGATATAAAAAAACCTGCGCTGGATCTCGTAGATGACTAGGTGTTAAGATATTTGGGGGTAATAAATGTCAGGGGCATTTTTATCCTAACAACGGCTGACATTTTATGTGCTGTGGATGCCTTCCAGAGTCACAGAGGGAGGAGGTGTTCACACATGGTAGTTTGTTGAGGTGCTGAATGCATCCATATCTGAATGGCTTGTAACCTGCTCAGAGATGCTACTTATATTATCTCGATAACTGCTCGCATCTTAACAAATCTCTGTTCATTCATTGCACAATGAAACCATAGACTTCTACAATACTCATAGTGTATGTTATATCAAATATGCGGTAGAGTGTTTAAAAAGTTCTTTCAAATGTTCCATCAATCTAAAAAAACTTTAAAGCTTGTGAGTAGATGTATAATATAAGTAACATCACCAATTTGACATCTTCTCTAGTATAAACTGCCTTCTATTGAAATCAAAGGATCTTTGTTCGCAAGATTTGCTCAATTGAAAAAAAATATATTGGCTTGAATAAAAGTCTTCTAAAATCATTTAATTTGAGCAATGATATCATATATGCAACTACATGTATATCATCATTACAATAGGCAGCATTTACAGCTGAAAACTAAAAGTTAAAAAGATTCATGTTTCAAATGAGATATTGTTTGATTATTAATAACTGTACTTGTAAAGACATGTAACCACTTCAAACAGTACAAAACTGATATCAAAACCGCAAAAATTGTCCACTATGAGTTTGGATTATAATTCAGTCTTTAATTTTCTCTTATTTTCTATTCAAAAGGTCCCCTAGGATTCTCCAATTATTCATGACAAGCAATGAAGCAAACACTTCTGACTTTGAAAAGATTGTTTCAGTTTCTATTTGTGAAAGAGAACAAACAACTCTTGTCATTAACTCGTGATGATAGCGTGTCAACATTAATACAAATAAAATGCAGGCAGATATATTAGCATATTATGTCTGTTTTCTATAAGATTTTTTTTTCTTTCAGACAATCAATTTTTCAACATCCTATAACTACAATATACAGTGCATCCCAGAAAAAACGAAACTGAGATTCATCAATGTTTTATCATAACTTAATCACAATTATAATTAATAAATGACACATATTTGTAAAGCTTAGACCCTCCTCTTTCATTTGGGTTCGTTTTTTCTGGGACGCACTGTATTTAAATATAAATGAAATATCGTGTTTTTTAAAAGTTAGATGAAGCACTCCTATAAGATCGTTTCAAATATCAAAATCTAATGATCCTGAAATTAGAAGATATATTTTGCAAGATTTCACTTCAAACTTGACACGCTATTCAGCAATACAGCACACTCCACAATTACATTTTTAATGGAACATCCCTTAAAAAACAGAAATATAGATTAAATAATAGAAATATAGATGCTTTTAAGTAATACCAAATCCAGAAACAATAATGAAATAGGCCTAATATAGTTTAGTGATTTGCAGTGATACTTAAAGGCATGTCTGAAATGCTTATGGCATAAATGCTTAAAATCATAATTTTCTTGCATAGGGGCAGAACTGTAATAGTCAGCTTTAAAACCTAGTGTTTACATGTTCATGTAACCATACAAATTCTGATAATGCTAAATAATACCCCCAAAAAAGTCACTAACATAAGTTGGATTTAAAGTTTAAAAGCACTGTCTGTTCGGAGCCAGAAGGGCATTGACTCCTATCATTTAACACAGAGTTAACGTCATTCTGGCTCCAAACAGATATATTATTCAGGTCCCCAGAACCAGAACCCCCCCATTATAGGGATCATGCATTTGTGCATGTTGCGCAAGTCCGCTGGAACAAGCTGCCAAGAGACATTTGAAACATTCAATGCCTAGAAAACCTTTTAGAAAAATGTTAAAAAGATATTATTTACCTGAGTTACTAATGATATTATGTGGTTAAAATTCAGTAGAGAGATTTGTGTATTTTGTTTTGTATAGCGCCTTGAGTAAGTTATTAAATAAGTGTGCTTCATAAGTATTTATTATCATTATTATTTTGTGTCTTATTAAACATGTCTCCTCTTTTCTCTACGTTACCCAGCAAGACGGATATCATTAATTAAACTCAAACTTTTTTTGACAAGTTTAGGAGAGTATATCAAAGCTGTAGCTATCCATAACCCTGTGCACACCACAGTAATAAAATCATTATATTCAGTCCATTTAGTATTGGGTTCAGATGATTCTTCTCATCATTTATTCATAGGCTTAGACAGAACTCTATCATATGCATGCACCCTGCTGGCTAAATTTTTTCCACCAATTTAAGCCGCATAATTAGTTTGACTAAACTTCATTTGGCAATGTAACACTGTGGCGTGCCCCGCAGGGAGGATGGCCAATGACGTGCGGTCAGTCAATCATTCAACCCCCCCCCCCCCACCATCAAACCACTGTCGCTTCAAACCGGTCCTGGTTTGGACTGCGCCATGGCGCGCAACGGTCGAGGTGCGATATCCAGCCATGGAAATAATGCGGCCAGCTAAGCGCAGCTAATCTGGTTAATGAGTAGCGTGCCATGGCTCTTTGACCTGAAGTTGCCCCGAGGAGAACAGCTTCTTAGTCCTGTCGAGAGATGTCGCAATAAGCAGAAATATGTACAACTGTGTGTACGTAAGAACTGGGTTTTGAGCCTCGGGGCATGGTGGGTGTGATGGGGGTCGAGGAATGCACTTCTTTCAAGGTGAAGTTCTACAGATTTAGACCGAAATGAGGTAAATTTATCTGATTTTACTTTTTTATGGTCTGTGTGATGGTTTCCTTAAAATAAATAATCACATTTCAAATGGAAGAAGTCCCTGTTCTTTGGTCCTCCAATAACATCATGGTTGGTATTGGTTGCATTTTGCAATCAAGATTTCAGTTGATAAACACAAAGTCATTTGTATTCATCTTTTATGGATTACAAATGGAATCTATCGAGTTGCAATTTTACAACATACACTCTAATGAAAAGTCATGTAAGCTAAATTTCTAACACTAAGCAAATACTTAGCTTAAGCTTTGTACCCAACAATATACCTAACCCAAACTCTAAAAAAAAACCTAATCCGTACCTAAGTTTTGATAAATAATAAAGCCTGAATGAGAGATGGAAAGAGCAAATGTCAGATCACTGAAACTTGTATACCCTTTCCAGATATTAATTAATTAATTTATTTTGTGTATCTATTTTTTTTTTTGGGGGGGGGGGGGGGAGTATTCATCCCCTTTAATCTCAAAAATATTTCTGGAAGCATTGTTATTTGATCACAGCATTAAGTAGAGTACTGTATTTATTTAAAACTTGAACCTTCTGAAGTAGATAACTTTTTGAAACAGTAAAGATGTTGCAACAAACAACAAAAGGTAATTTTTATAACCTTTAAAAATTATAACTTTAACAAAGCCTACATGCATATAAAGGATTCATAAGGAAAAACTAACCAATTTTGCTTGCCTAATAAATGCTCAAACAACCTCATTTTAATTTTAAACCTCATTGTTCTTTTTTGATGAGAAAGAAAAAGGCCTGAAAATCGATGCTACTACCAAAAAAAATTCCCTGCGTGTACGCCCCCAGACATACCACCCCTAGATACGAGGTGGATACACTTTATAAGTGCTCCTTGGTGGGCTATATATCCGTTCCATCCTTCCTCGCCCTCCATCTTTCTCGGAACGTTACCATCTTGAGCCAAAACAGATTACGTTCTGCTTTCCCTTTGGCAATGGGACCCAATGCGGTAAACACCTAAGAGTAGCTTGAACCTATCCCATTGGGTTCGGAGGAGTTCCATTCCCTGTTTAGATAGCTTTTCAGAGAGATACTTGTATTCGTAGATTTCCATCATGAGCAAATGATCTTAGAGATTATTTAGGTAGATTACACAGTATTTAGAGAGGTTCAAGCTGACATAAAGAGAGAGAGAGAGAGAGAGAGAGAGAGAGATAGAGAGAGAGAGAGAGAGAGAGATAGAGGGAGAGAGAGAGAGAGAGAGAGAGAGAGAGAGAGAGAGATTTACGAGCTAGCAAGCCTACGTACATGTAAGATACAATTCAAAGTACTACATACAAAATGAGACTTTTGTCATACAAGAAAGAAAGTTCTGCCTTGCATTTATCATTGATTTGGCAATGTATAAATTTGGGAAGAGTAAGAGTTAAACATTAAGACGTGTAATAAATATCAAGATTATCATAACAATTCCTTGATGTCCTCTTCTTAAAACGCATCTCAGTTCCCAGTTAAAGGAATATATCAACCCAATGACTACTTAATTCATTAATTTCCATTCTAATACAGGGGCCAACCGCGGAAGCAGAAGGAAATGGATTAAATTTGGTGTATCATAAAAGAAAGGCCAAATGTGACATTGCATAAATATGCATGACCAAATTGCCAATGTGAGGCTGCCAAATTTACACATAAAATAACAAAGATTTTAAAAACTACAATACTCTAACTCAAAATGAGATTTGAAAGTACACAAGTCAAAGGCGGTATTGCTAAGTACTCTAATCATCTATACTCTAATACTCTGACTTGCTCACAAACAACAACAGGACACAGATAATCACATATTTACCCCAACCATTCTGTACCCTAATGGAGCATGGTGCACTTCCCTATGATGGGGTCTTGATTGAACTACCCCGATAATGACTCGATGGGGGAGATTCACTGGTACGGGATCCTTTTTATTAGACTGCTTTTACGCTAGATTAATTCTCGCTTAGTCCCATATCAGATCAAATTAATGCCACTTCAGTGTAACTTCCCTCATTAGCGTGTGTAGCCTTCTACAGATTGGAGGCGGTCGGTGTACAGGTGGGGATTGCTTTGGTATCCCATGCAGAGCATGCCTGAGTTAAGAACCTTGTACTGTAAACTGTGCATGCACGTCTATCTGAACTTAAAGCCCTTGTACATTATTGGTAGGTCCCCCAACAAAAAATTAAGTTAATTAAATTGACAATTTGCAAAAGTAACACATGTTTGTAAAGTTGGTGGTAGTGTAAGTGTCATGAAATATTCATTTAGCACTTTGTAAATCTCACAATTATGAACCCAGTGCACGAGTTCCACTCCTTCTGTATTCTGTTCTGTAAAGCGCATAGAGATCGATCGACATGCAATTATGCCTAAGTGGTATGCACTATATAAAAACATTAAATTGTTATCATGATTATTATTACAAAAGACAGGATAGCACTTAAACTGACCTTTTTGTCGAGGTTGTGAGCTCTGAATGACAGGATAAGTGCATCGTTGATGTCCGCTACCTCCTCCGCATCTATCTGTAAAAATAACAAGAAAGCAATAAAAGTAAACATTGTCAGTTATGCATCAATGCTCCAGTAAGGCACTATTTGTCATATTGTGTTGAGGTTTATTTCATTTCCTCTGCAAGTATAAAATAATAATAATTACGTTTAAAGGGCGCTTCACACAAATGTTTCTAAGCGCACAGGTGGTACTGTCTAACTTATAATTATTCAACATGTTCAATACCTTAAAAGCAACAAAATAAAATAAAATATTACTAAGAGTATCAATTGTTTTTGTTTGTTTGTTCTACCTGACTGCAAAGTCCTATCAAAGGGACTTGGTAATGAGGATCAATGCCTTACCAAAGGGCACTTGCGCATCAACTTTGTTTTGAACCTGGGACCTCCCGGTTACGAGACCACTACTCTACCATTGAGCCATCGCGCCTCTTTTTAATACAAAAAAATATCCCAGTTTTAAAGTCCTTCAGGGGATATACACTAGACATTCATTATATTTTGATCTGCATAAGATATGAACATGTTATTTCAATAGTAGCATCATTTGACAAGATTTATGAATATTTCAGTTATGTTTATTGCACGTTTCCAGTTTCAGTCTGCTTTGCATCATGAATTCAATATATCGTCGCTGTTTTCACGAAGTGACGGTAGTGAAAAAATTGCATTCACTTTGCGTGACGATTTTCCTCACTACCGTCACTTCGTGAAAACAAGGACGATATATCAATAAATTATGAAAGTTCAAAGACATTGAACAAAAAAATTGTTTAATCTAATTGAGATGTGAACATATCAAGAAAACAAGTCAGATCAGCAAAGAGAGAAAAAGAGAGAAAAGAGAGAAGAGAGAGAGAGAGAGAGAGAGAGAGAGAGAGAGAGAGAGAAAGAGAGAGAGAGAGAGAGAGAGAGAGAGAGAGAGAGAGAGAGAGAGAGAGAGAGAGAGAGAGAGAGAGAGAGGAGAGAGAGAAACAGAGAGAGAGGAGAGAGAGGAGAGATAGAGGAGAGATAGAGAGAGAATGAGGAGAGAGAGAAAGAGAGAAAGAGAGAAAGAGAGAGAGAGAGAGAGAGAGAGAGAGAGAGAGAGCAAACAACCATTCTTGCATTATTTCTTAAGAACTTTAAATGACTATTTCATATGATGAGAGCCAGAACGGTGATAAATCTGTGTTAAAAACTAGGAGGTAACAATTTAGGCAGACAATACTCATTTTAAATGTAAAGGAATGATCAAAAGTCACACAAAAGAATAGATTTACAAGGTGATCTTCATGCCCAGACAGGCAGTACAAGGCTTTTTACATCTAAACATACAAACCAAAATCATTCTTCCAAAGCCTCTCCCCCCCCCCCCCCCCCCCACACGCACACACCCAGGACCACAAATAGAAGCTGGTATACAGCCGTAAGTCCTGTGTGCCTTTCCACTTAACAACCTTCCAAATCTGACGTCGACACTCGATCGAGACTTTGATGACGTTTCATGATATTTCCTTTCCATCTTCTCCCTCTCTTCCTCTCTCCCTCTGTCTATTTATCGCCTACATATTGGACAGCTTGCATAGACGTCATAACGGCAGTGTATTTTCAGATCTTTATTTGGGAATGAATACTACGCACCCTGTCGCGGGGGGATAATACCGCCTTTGTGCCGTGGCTTGACGAATCGTCATTTATAGCGATCAAGCGGGGACATCCGATACCAGACTCTTTGATTAAAGCCGATGATTGTACGGCGCTTGAAGTCAAAGTTTTGGCTGGCACAGATTAAGAGCTGAACTCCGACAAGGACATGCAATAGATTGATCAATGAGTATTTGTAAGGCCTCTAGTAATGGCCCCTCTCTCGTTTCATTCATTCCAATCTAAATATCAATGAATGGATCTGTACATCTATGTTCAGCTCCATTTTCTCCATGTAATTTGGAGAAAAAAAGACAAACAATTTCCGCAGACCACTCAGTCATTCTCACTGGTATATGAATGAAAATACTTGACCTAACTTTAATTTAAAACCTAACCTAAAACCAAATCCTAGCCCAAGCTCAATATTTCCCTATATTTTGGATGAAATGAAGCCCATTACTTATACACATGCTCTGGCAACAACTCGATCCATTGTCAATTTCCTGTGCTAAATTTTTTCCTATGAACCCCTGACTTCAACTCCGGATCACTACCATATACATGTCCCTCCTCTCATCCTAAACATAACCATCATTTAAAACAAATTTAAGCAACCTTGATATAAGTCTTAAATCTTTAATGTAATAGAGCACCGAACAATGAAGCTTGGAGAAAATAAAGGAATTGAAGTGAACTGAAATGAAGGAATTTGTGTTTTCGATCTGCATGAGATGTAAATGCATTATTCTAAGGGTAACAGGGTCTGACAATACTTTGAAGGTGAAGTTTTATTCACTATTCATAGAGTGTTTCATTTATTTGCTACACTTCAGTGCATATTCGATACTGAAATGCTGACATAAAGAAGTTTTTTTTTTTATCTCCATGAGATGTGAATGCATTATTCTAAGGGTATCATAATCTGACAATGCTTTGAAGGTGAATTTGAATTCACTATTCATAGAGCGTTCCATTCAATTTAAAAATGTTCCATGAAACCACAAATTTGTAAGTTTGGGTTAGTGCAATAGCAACATCTATACAGCTGTTTACTATCTGTGAAAGATATGAACTTATTATTACAAATGCACCTCATGAGAGCAATGGAAAGTTTGGAAGGGGTTTCCAGAAAGAGGACAAGGAGCCTAATCAAAGAAAAAAAAATTAGGTACAATTAATTATCTGTAAATATCTATAAATATAGCTCTAGAAGTATTTTAATAATAATTTTTTCCATAAGGCTATTTAATTACTATTATTGAAAAATAATAATATTATCTCAATTTCAGACTTTTATAGTTAGATTTACAGTTTGCCTTTAGAACATGTGGAAAAAGATAACTGGTATAATACCTTATGGAAATGGCATTAGCACCTTGACTTGGTTTTGAACCCACAACCTGCCTGTACCAAAACCACTACTATGACCACTAAGCTACAAATCATAGTACAGTCTCCACTATTCTTATGAACTCTAGCTTGCATCCATAAAAGATCACATTTCTAGAATACCTATATGTTACAAATGTTACATTTTCTTTATGTAGATGACAGGAGTGCAGTTCTCTGACACCTACAGAAAAAATGAGATTAAATTTTTTTTTTTTTGCATCGCGATCCAAAAATCTTTTTTTTTTCGGGGTGGACAGAATATTTTCACTAATCTTCGCGATTCGCATCGTGATTCAATTCGCATTAAGTCTTGCGATTTTCAGAATAATCGCGATAGTTTGCCGGGCGCTGTGTGTGTGAATGGTGTTGAGAATCAAAAACCGATTTTATTCAATCCCAGGATTCCAAACGCCTATACATCGTTGGAGATTCATGCATGCACAGTTCAAACGTTCTAGTAATTGAATGAGTATTCTCCCTGTGTGTGAATGGTCACAAAAAAAATCAATCTTTGCATCGCGATCCAATTCGCACTAAATTGACATGTGTAAACGGTCGCAAATTTGTTTTGATCTTTGCATCGTGATCCAAATTGCATTAATTGTTATGTGTGAATGGGCCTACTGTTGACTCTTACTTTAAAGGCACAATTACTTTCTCACAGTGCGTTGAACTTCAGTCAAGCAGTGAAGTGGCTTTGGAACAGGGTGATGCCAATTAGCCCATTTTCTCAAAAGGTGTTTATCTCGACACATTCACAGAATGAAAATCTGATAACTCTATGAAAGGGCATTGACTTTGTGTTACTTGTGGTAGGGTGACCACGAGGGGAAGGTACAATAGTGCGAGGATTTTTGTTATAACAGTTTGTTTGTTTGTTTGTTTTGTTGTTTTACCTGACTGCTAAGAGAGCATGTGTATGCTACTATGCTTGTAAGTAGGTAACCAGTGGACCGACAGCTTAAGTCCTCTCCAAGGGACTTGGTAATGAGGATTGATGCCTTACCAAAGGGCACTAACGCATCAACTTGGTTAGGGACCAGGGACCTCTTACAGGCATAAATGTCTGTCTGAAGCAACAAAGGCATTTACTCATAATACCGGTAAGTGAATTGTGAGCATTGATTTAAAGCATTTGTGGGTCTAAAGCATAGATGTTATGTTCCATTCTTGTTAACAAGTTACAAACTATGATTTTTAACATCTCTATGGGAGCTTTCAAAGAGCTTTGGATATATTACCATTCACTATCACTAGTAAAAGTACACAATATGATTTTTAATAAAGAAATAAATACTTCCAGGCATCTCCTAACTACACCTAGATTTTCAGTGGAAAATGTAGTTATACCTTGCTAAAGGACATCAGTACCAGGGCTTGAACCAACAACTAGCAACTGAGGTCTAGTGGACAAGTCTCTGGACTGTGAACCAAGAGGTACTGGTTTGAATCCCTGCTGCAGTACGTCCTTTGGCAAGACATTAATCTATATTTGCCACCCTCTGAACCAAGTGTTGTAACTAGGATTTATACCCTGAACGTAAAAATATGAATTTGAATATTTGTTTTTCAGGTAGACCAGAGGGCCTATAATGGAACAAACTCACATCTTCCTGCCAGAACAAGATGATACCAATTCACTAGTCTCACACTCAACCAGTCATAGTCATCAAGGATTAAACTTCAAATCTTGCATCATCCTTTACAAATGCCAGCCATGCAGCGCCATGGATCAACCAAATTCTTGATCCAGATTCAATATTTTCTCAGACTCTACTTGTCTGGCATGGTATTTACTGACTAAATAACATGGTCCGTATAACGAGCAAAAAGCACTCGCAAGACCGCGTAGGAAACGTGGAGCTTTTTCTCTAGGAAACTATAACTCCTGCCCACTCTTTGGTTTGTGCAAGAATGTTTGCTGATTGCATCAGACGCTCTGCATCCGCACCATGCATCATCTATTTGGTCAAAACATGTTTTAATGCAAA